GGCCGCTCTCATCCTCCTCCTAGTTGAGCACCGGCGCCCGGCTGACGGGGCCGGCTAACCGATTCCCGGGTGACGGGATCGGCCGCTCTCATCCTCCTCCTAGTTGAGCACCGACTCCCGGGTGACGGGATCGGCCGCTCGCATTCCTCCCTGTAGTTTGGGCACCGGCACCCGTTTGACGGGGCCGCACGGTCGACTCCCGGCTGACGGGATCGGCCGCCCTTAGCCTGTCCAGGTCTGCTGGCCGCCCCGGTTGACGGGCCGGCGGCACGACCGCGGCAGACACCCTTCTCCGGCTACCCCACCGGCCGCACGCGGAGTACCCCTGGTTGACTGGCCGGAGCGGGAACCGTTTTCCGGATGACGGATCGGTTCTCCGGCGGCCAGTGGCCAGGCGTATTCCTGCGCGGATCCGGATTTTCACCTCCAGACACACACCTGAGTAAATGCCCGCCTCCTTTTCCTGCCTGTCTTCGTAAAGAAATAAATATTTCTGTAGGGGACCCTGGATAGACTGAGTATTTATCCTGGCCCGTGATTAGCATCCTTACAGATGGCGCCCGAGGAGGGACTAGGCAGGATAATGAAAGGACATGAAAGGAAGGAAAAATTAGGTCAAAATTTGGTCAAAGTTTGAGGTTAGGGACAAAAGCTAGGGAAACACGTTTTTTCAACGGAAGAGGAATAGGGAAAAGCAACTACGAAAAAAAAAACTACGAGAGAGGAAAATGTCGCCGCACACGACTTAAAACAAACGCAAGCAAGTACAGTCACACGAGAGAGAACAGAAGGAGAGATAGAGAGAAAGAGAGCCGCCAGACTAAAGCCACGTGGACGCCGCGCCGGCACCCACGCGATCAGAAAATGTAGTTCCCTTGCGCACAACTGGTCCCTTTTACCAAACGGGACGCCCGACGCCGGCAGAGCCGGGAAGCATTTAAGTCGCTAGCCGACATGCACGAGAGACAGTCAATCAACAGAGCCACAGGAGGACAGTCGTTCAACAGAGCCACAGGAGGAAACATCGATCACCAGGATCACTCAAAGGATACACACCCCCAGGACATCAAGGGTATACACCCCCTCTTGGATAACCAGGATACACATCCGTCAAGGACAGCAAGGATACTCAACCACTGATGGACACACATCGCCGCTCCTGCACCCTAGCCAGGACAATCAAGGATACACAGGACTACAAGGACACACAACCAGGACACACCAAGCAACATGGGAGTCTCCTGGAACTCATACAGAAAGAAGCACGAACTGGCCGAGCGGAGAGCTGGTTCCGAACCAGTGATCTGCAGGGACGGACCTGGACCGAAGTCCGCTGGGAATTTTTCCTGCCGCCCCGGTATTACCAACGCCTCGACGACGAGATCCGCTCTCACTTCCAGAAAGTGAATGAGCCTTTCAAGGAATACCTGGTGGACCTTCGCCTCCAGATGCGTCGCGCTGGACTCTCACCAGAGCAAGAATTGGAACGAGTCTACGAGAACATGCTGCCCGAATATCAGATGTTCACCCGCCGCCAGGACTTCAAGACGTTGACCGAGCTCACACATTAGGTGGTCAACAATGAAGTTGCCCGCAGCCGCGGAGGCCGACCCGTCCGTGGATACCCGTCAACAAACCCCGACGCTGAGTATCCACCCCAGAGCAGAAACGCACGACCTAGGGCGAACCCTGCTCACACACCGCAGGTGCCACGCCCTGGGAACGCGACCAACGACGCCGCCTCCCGAAACTGCGGCTAGGCTGGTCACTACGCCACGGAATGCCGGAACCAGAGGACCATGTTCTGCTGGGACTGCGGCCGCCAAGGCATACGCACTGTCGAGTGCTGCCGGAATCAGACGCCGGGAAACGGGCAAGGGCCTCGAGTATCAGGGAGTCACCCGAGGAACCCACCAAACTCCCGCACCCAGTAACCAACGCCATCCAACAGGATCGGAACCGTATCCGCGCACAGACCACGGTCAGGGACGCCCGCTCACCGCCACCTTGGATCCGGGGGCCTCGCATAGTTTTAAAAGCGAGCGCCTGGCAAGGGTACTCCACGATGGAAAGAATCATCGCGCCGTACGGACACGGGTGAAGTTAGCAGACGGAACCGGCAGGGAGCTCACGCAGGCCCTGCGAATCACGATCCAGCTTTCCCAGCTGGGGTCAGCGTCTCCGCCCTCATCATGGCGGATGTGCTGGACGACCTTCTACTCGGCATGGACTTCCTGTGCTATGGCGGAGCCACACTGCAGTGTGGGGGCCTGACCCTCCAACTCGAGCCACCCATTCCTGCTCAACCCGCGAGAACCAGCTCGCCAGCACCGACCCGGAGCAAACGTGCCGCCACGCCGGCGCACACACCCTGCACCCAGGCGCACTCATCCGCCGCCACCCAGGCGCACTCATCCGCCGCCACCAAGGCGCACTCCTCAGCCGCCACACAAGCCGCTCCACGGGATCACAAACGTACCGCCACGCTGACGCACACACCCGGCATACAGGCGCACTCATCAGCCGCCACCACAAGCCGCCACCCAGGCGCACTCACCGGCCGCCGCAACACAGGCGCACACCCAGGCCGCCCCACGGGCGCAAGAACAAGCCGCCACCCAGGCGCACTCACCGGCCGCCGCAACGCAGGCGCACACCCAAGCCGCTCCACGGGCGCACTCACCGCAACGCCCTGACGCTCAACGCAGCGCCAGGTATACCAACGCGTGCACGGCCCCAAGCTGGGCCGGAGCACTACCTACGCCTGATCCATCAGCGTTTCAGCGAAACCCATTTCGCAAAGGGGCCAAGAGAGTCCGCTTCAGCGACCTGGAACCACCGCCACCATCCTCCGGTATCGTTGACGCCGAGAATGACGCTGAGGAGGAACCAAAATCCAGAGGCCACAAGGAAAACTATCCGGAGTCTTGGATAGGGAAGTTTCTCGAGCGAGAGCTGTCCCGCTTCAACAATATCGCCAACGTCTCCCACATCGCCGAGCACAAGATCGTGATGCGCCACGATCGCCCTATCAAGCAACGATATCATCCACGGAATCCCGCGATGAGGGCCGTCATCGACCAACAGATCGACGAGCTTATCCGCGACGGACGCATAGAGCCTTCCAAGAGCCCCCCATAGCGCGCTGATCGTCATCGCGGCAAAGAAGAATGGAGAGGCCAGGATGGGCTTCACTCGGCTCCGGCCACATTTCAACGGGCGCTGGACACCGTCATCGGCCCAGACATGGAGCCACACGCTTTCGCCTACTTGGACGACATCATCGTCGTCGGGGCCACACTCTCCGAGCGCGTACGGAACTTACGCGAGGTATTCCGACGGCTCCGAGAGGCCAATCTCCGGCTCAACCGAGACAAGTGCCAGTTCTTCCAGCGGAGTATAAAATATCTTGTCCATGTAATCAGCGAGGCCGGGATACAGACCGACCCCGACAAGGTCGCGGCCATCCGGGAACTGACCCCACCCACGAACCTGAAGGAGCTTCGCCGATGCCTTGATATAGCGTCTTGGTACCGATGCTTTGTGCCGAACTTCGCGGACGTGGTCGAGCCAATGACCTCGCTGCTCAAGAAGGATCAAAGTTGGAGATGGACAGAGAAACAGGAACAGGCGTTCCAAAAGTTGAAGGACCTGCTCACGGAGGCACCGATCTTGGCGTGCCCGGATTTCGAGGAGAAATTCGTACTCCAGACCGACGCAAGCGAATAGGGCGTGGGAGCCGTACTCACCCAGACCATTGACCAGCAGGAGTGCGTAATCGCTTACGCCAGCCGCCGGCTGAATACCGCCGAGCGCAACTACTCTGTCTTCAGAGTCCCAAAGACTCTGGTTTTCGACAACGGGACCCAGTTCACTAGCCGGGATTTCCGGACATTTTGCAAATCTCTAGGAATGGAACTGCAGCATACCGCGCCTTGCACGCACCGCCAAAATCCTACGGAGAGGGCGAACAGGACCGTGAAAACTATGATCACACAATACCTGGGCGACGCGCCGCAGAACACCTGGGACCAACTCCTGCCGGAAATCTCGCTGGCCGTTAACAGCAGCGTCTCGGACACCACAGGATTCAGCTCCGCCTTTCTAGTACAAGGCCGGGACCCACGACTACCGAACGCACTTTACGATGAAGTCACCCCAGGACGAGGAACAGCCCTGATTCCCCCTGCGGAGAGGAGCGAGCAGCTGCACAGCATATTTAAAGTTGCCCGCGACAACGCCGAGCGTGCCACGGCTGAGCAGAGCCGGCACTACAATTTGCGACGACGAGAGTGGAAGCCACCACTGGGCTCCCTCGTTCTCGCCCGCCATCATGTGTTATCCAACGCCGCCGAGGGCTTTGCGGCCAAACTGGCTGCAAAATATGAAGGCCCGTTCCGAGTGATCAAGTTCCTTTCGCCGAACATCGTCCGGCTGCTAGACATCGGGAGCCGCCGCCGCCGCACGGCCAGCATAAACAACCTGAAACCATATCATCAAGGCAACGAGGACGACGACGAACACCAAGACGAGGACAGCCTCAGCGTCACCCCAGTCCACGACGACCATGACTCTCGTGACCAACCAGGACGCCTCCACTCTGACGCTGACCCTGATCCTAAGGAAATATAGGAGAGCAGGAGCATAGGATAGGCGCCACCCTCCAGCAGATGGCAGAGAGAAAACAAAACCAAAATAAAGAGAGGGGGTGGGTACTACTAATACACTTATTTACTCTTCTTAGATCTCACCCATTCGTTTATGGAGTTGCCAGATCAACAGAAAATCAACTTCGATACAAGCAGGACGTCGCGCTATCGGAACCGATAAGCACAGCGCGAATTCAATTTTCAAAACGACGCAATTGAGAAAGGAAGTAAGAAAATGCCACGGGAGCACCACCGACGATCACACCACCGCCATTCGCACCACTCCGGAGACGAGCGACGCCACCACCACCCCCAGGTGAGAACCCGGACACCGCGGCTCCAGCCGCCACGATGCCCGCGCTGGAGGGGCTGCGCATTACGGCCAACGCCGCCAGCCCCAGGCGCGCCTCGCGGCCACCAACGCCGACGGTCCCAGTCGCCACTCCGCCCGCGCTCGAGGGGCCCAACACCGCGGCCGTCGCTGCCAACCCTGAGCGCCCACCACGGCCGCCACCACCGTCGGCCACAGCCGACAGCGGTGGCCAGTCGTCGCCCACCATCAGCCCAACCTGGTGCGAAGGGCTGACTCTGGAGGACGTGGTGGCCTCCTTATTTGAGGCAGACGGAGGGGAAAACGCCGAGGACGCCCGCTCGGGGGAAGAATCCGCTCCACCACAACAGCCAGCCACCGCCACGCCGATCCCCGTGGGCTCACTGGGCGCCACGTACGAGGAGGTCTCCGACGCTGAGGTAGTGACCCTCAGCTCGGACGACGAGGAGACACGGGGGTCGGCGGTGGCCACGATCATCTTCTCTGACGGGGATGCCAGCGGGGCGGAAACGCTGCCCCGGACGCCACCGCGCGAGGAGACGCCGCCGCCCTCGTACTAGGAGCTGTTCGGGCCAGGGCCGTACCCGGAGCCCAACCTTCCAGCCTCAGCCGGGGTCAGCACCGCCGCCACCATGGCGGTGCAGGCCACCGACGCCGCTGCCACGGGGCAAACCGCCCCCGCACCCGATACCGCCAACAGCGTCACCGACGCCGCCTCCACGGGGCAACCCGCCCCCACACAGGATACGGACGCCAACACCACCGGCGCAACGACCGTCCGGGCAGGAGCCAGTACCCCCACGGGGAACGGCACGCTGCGGCAGCTGCTGGAGAAACTGACCGCATCCCCTGATGGACCCACGACGTCCGCCGCTTCACAGCAGTGGGAGGCCGTGCGGGCTGCCGCGCGAACAAACCTGGCAGCGATCCCCACCGCGGCACGCGCGCCAACACCGCCGGATGGCACAGCGGTCATCGCGGCAGTCGCCGCCATTTCACCGCCCAAGCCCCTGTGGCGAGTAAAACCGCTGCCGGCCACTGACCAGCAACGCTGGCGTTGCCGCCAGCCCCAGACCAACCCCGTCGCAGAGCCAGCACTCCGATCGGGCATCTTACGGCGCCGCCCGGCCCCATGGCCCATCGAGGAGGACACCTAGCAGGAGGTCGACTCCAAGGAGGAGGTCGGCACCGAGGAGGAGGTCGGCACCGAGGAGGAGTCCCTCCCGGATGAGCTGCTGCAACAAGGCGCCCAAGTGCGCGCCCACGACGGGTGGGTCACCGCCAACGGTTGGGTCCCCATCGCCCTGCTGGACCGGATTAACCAGCACTTACGCCAGCCGAGGCACCGGGAGGCTCGGTACCTGGATGAGGCCTTCGGCATCCGGTACCGGGTGCAGATCGCCCGGAACGGACGGGTAAAAATCTTTCCACACCCCCGACGAAGGGATGGGGTGTGAGGTAACCCTACAAGGCCCCCGACCCACCGTATGTATATATTAGTTAGGAATAGTTTATAAGATAGGAGTTAGGGATTTAGGTTAAGGATCTAGAAAGACCCATGGAGGGCACTAGGATAAGTTAGTTTAAGGCCCATGAAGGGCATTCAACCTGTACATACGTTGCCCGGCGGGCGCACTCGCAGCACCGCCCTGGCAACATCGCCGCCAACACCTGCCACATCCCCGGCCACGCCAGCAGCACCCATCGGCAACATCGCCGACATCATCGCCAGCAACATCATCACCGGCAACATCGCCAGCAACACCACCGGGATTATCACCGGCAACATTGCCGACGTCATCTCTCCAAACTTTACGCTCTCGGCAGCCGACAACCGGCAGAGCAGACGGCCGAACCAGGAGAGCCACGCACCAGAAGAGAGGAGCACGATCGCGTAGAGAGACGCGGGTGCAGGGAAGCTGCAGAAAAAGTAGAACGACGACAACTGCACGAAGGCGGCGTAAGGGCCGCTGCCGCGGTCGGCAGCAGCAGCAAGAGCTTCGAACGACATCTGCTGCCCGCAGCAGATCCCGGAGAAGCAAGTCGCAAGTTTTCCAGCAGTGAAAATACAAACACCGAGGACACGTGGACATGGAGTCCCACAAGTAGACGGGTGAGCCGGCCGCGGGCCACCCCTAAGGGGAAGGCCAGGATGTGCGTAGGGCAGATAGGGACTATCTTAAGTTTGGTAAAGTATTGTAATAAATTATAAAACATGAATTACGATCGGCTAAAAGTTATTCTCCAGTAAAGGCGGTCTCCGGGTGACGGAACCGCCCCCTTCCTCTCCCAAATCCTTCCTCCCTCATAGTTTGGAGCACCGGCACCCGGCTGACGGGGCCGGCCAACCGATTCCCGGGTGACAGGATCGGCCGCTCTCATCCTCCTCCTAGTTGAGCACCGGCGCCCGGCTGACGGGGCCGGCTAACCGATTCCCGGGTGACGGGATCGACCGCTCTCATCCTCCTCCTAGTTGAGCACCGGCACCCGGCTGACGGGGCCGGCCAACCGACTCCCGGGTGACGGGATCGGCCGCTCGCATTCCTCCCTGTAGTTTGGGCACCGGCACCCGTTTGACGGGGCCGCACGGTCGACTCCCGGCTGACGGGATCGGCCGCCCTTAGCCTGTCCAGGTCTGCTGGCCGCCCCGGTTGACGGGCCGGCGGCACGACCGCGGCAGACACCCTTCTCCGGCTACCCCACCGGCCGCACGCGGAGTACCCCCGGTTGACTGGCCGGAGCGGGAACCGTTTTCCGGATGACGGATCGGTTCTCCGGCGGCCAGTGGCCAGGCGTATTCCTGCGCGGATCCGGATTTTCCCCTCCAGACACACACCTGAGTTAAAGCCCGCCTCCTTACAAGCTATTACGATGTTGAGGATCTACAAGGTCATTATATAGCAGGGACTGTAACGGTTATAATTAAAAAAGCAAAAAATTACAAAACAAAAGTTATTTCTTAATTTTTATGAAAAAATTGATTTTTAATACTTAAAATTAATTTTAATAATAAAAAATTAGTAATAATTATTAAGTATCAATTTTTATATAAAAATTACGCAATAACTTTTATTTTCAATTTTTATTTTATAAATTGAAAAATAAAAATTATTCAATAACTTTTATTTTAAAAATTGAAAATAAAGATTGAATCTATATATATATCTAATATATCTTTTGATCCGTAGAAGCCAGATCCAATGTGTATGTATATATATGATCTACACATCAATACCTTTCAGATGGTATATAATAAGTATGTATATATATATAGATTCAATCTTTATTTCCAATTTGTAAAATAAAAGTTATCAAATAATTTTTATTTTTCAATTTATATAATAAAAGTTGAAAATAAAAGTTATTGCGTAATTTTTATATAAAAATTGATACTTAATAATTATTACTAATTTTTTATTATTAAAATTAATTTTAAGTATTAAAAATCAATTTTTTCGTAAAAATTGAAAAAAAAACATTTATCTTGTTTTTGAATTCGCCATGAAAATTTAACTTATGACAATTTTTTCCAATTTTTTTGGAGACTGTTTTGGGCTTCAATTTTTTTAAACTCATAATAATTATCTGCGGTCCCTGTTATATAGTCAAGTTTCATGCGAAAGGGATGGTATCCTTTCTTAAATGTCATCACGACTTCCTAAAAGTGTCATGGCGTTCGGGAATCGGGCCTATAAAAAGTGGCCTTAACCCTAAGCTCGTCCTATTTGCCGCTACACCCTGAAGAAGACCACATCGTTAGAAACACATCAAAATGTAATTTTTTATTAATATCCATACCAGTTGCAAGCCTAGTCAGGCAAATTAACTTCGTTTTAAATATTACCGTTACTTGGGAAAAAAGGTAAATAATAATCGGCATTGAACTCAACAAAAAATTTCTAGTTCGAGGTATTTAAGGGGAAATTGCTTTTCCAGGCCATCATCGAAATCTTCCGATTTCCATTCGTCGCAAAATTTCTCTCCGCAAGTACAAAAAGCTTGCGGGGCGAAGAGAGAGGAAGAAGGGAGCAGGCACCAAGCCAAGATAAGTTCTTCGGCAGCTTAAGTAGTATTCGCCGACATATAATTCGATACAGCCGCATGATCGTCATGTAAACGCCGTAGGAATCTGATTTCGCTCGCATCACAAAAATGGGTTAAAATGTGGTAAAGTGCGTCAAAATGTAATCCCGATCGTCAGGAAGCCCCAAATCTAGTCGAGAAATTCGCGGGAAATCGGTTCCAAATCAAGTGCAGTTACATAAACCTGATGCTGGGTTGCGTAATACTCCAGGTTATGTAATCGCCGCTAAACACCCCAAACTGCTATGCCCAGCGCTGGCAAAAATCCATATTTTTGCCATATTGTTTGTACGAATTTTTATTAGATTTTTTTATAAATTCTTTTTTTTTTGTTTTTTTTTTTTTTAAGTTTTAAAATTTGAAAATGAAAAAGAGAAATCATAAAATGTGAGAGAATGGTGTGGTGAGTAAATAATGGGAAAAAAAGCAGAAAAAGTGAATTAAAAATAATGTTCAGGCCTCTCCCGCTCTCCCTCTCCCGGAGCTTCTCCCCACACCGCACTCTCCCTCTCCCGGAGCGTGGAGCATGTCGCGCTCGGCCGTCCAGGCTCTCCACTCCCCGAGCGCAAGAAGTCTCCGCTGCGCCTCCAAGCGCCTAGCTTAGAATAGCTTAGGTTAGTTCCAAATACGTCAACGCATTGAATAAACGCCCGGCCGGTCCGCGCCACGATTGAAATTCCAAGTCTTTTTTTCCCGCAATCGTCAAGTGTTTTTCTTGCCCCCACAGCTTACACCGCCAGCCGTCGCTGACCACAGGAGTTTGCTGCCTTCAAGTCGGACGCCCCCAACACAACATTTTTTGATCCAATCGAGCCAGATTGACCCAGCGCCCGAAATTGCTCAAGATAAGTACGAAGATCTATATTAATTTGCCGGTCTGCAGTCAGCCACTCGAAAACACTGTTTCGTTTGACTTTCTGCATGATTTTTTCTAAAAATCCAAGTCCGATTTAATACAAAAACGGTAATTATTAAGATCTCTTCCATTTTCCGTTTTTCTTTGATCGTGCCGCCATATTTTTCCAATTCCTCTTTGGTCCGTACATCAAAGTAAAACCGTACACATATGTATGTACATACAAGTATACATACATCAAATGAGCAAAATTTCAAACTTTAACAAAGAGCAAAAATTGCAAACTTTAATAAAAAGTGAAAATTGCAAACTTCAATAAAAAGTGAAAATTCCAAAATTTAACGAAAAGTGTAAAGTGTGCAAAATATTCCAAGTGAACCGGGAAAAAATAATTTCTGTGAAAAATTCCAAGTGTTCTGCCGAAAAAGGGCCCCCAATTTCAAAGTGTTTTTTTTTTCACTGTACTCCTACGCTAAATATTTTTCACACCTTTTCTTCCAATACAGTCCACTAAATAAAAATCGAAAGCTCAACACATACCCGCCGGCAATAATTTAAATAAATTTTCCGCCACAAATACAAACATATATCATACATATACATATACATATATATATCATA